TGGAGAATTGTCCCGTGGCTGTGGCCAGTGCCTGAGGGCATCACCTCCTGGAAGCCAGGCTTGCTGTGGACCCTGGTCTCAGGTCTCGGAAGCCGTCCATCCTGGCAGGGGTGTGGACCTCGCCCTTGAGCAAGAAGCGAAGGGAGTGTGGGAGGAGAAGGGCAGGGGTCCTGCCATCCCCCTAGGGCGCGGCCCCCTACTGACCCTCCCACCGCCTCAGCACCCGGAGCACCACGCAGGGACCAGGCTCAGCACCCGGAGCACCACGCAGGGACCAGGCTCAGCACCCGGAGCACCACGCAGGGACCAGGCTCAGCACCTGGCCTTTGGGGGAAACCCCAGACCTAGGGTCTACAAGGTGCCGGATCCCATTAATGCGAAATGCCTGGAAGAGACTCACTGAGAGGCAGAGCGTGGATTAGCCGGAGAAACGGGAGGGGCAGTGGGACCAGCCTTCTTTGGGGAGCGTGGGAACATTCCAGAAGTGGGTAGAGGCAGCGGTTTGCGGCTCCGTGACGGCACCAACGCCCACGGACTCAGGCACTTGAATGGGCGGATTTGCCGAGCGGAGTCTCTGAGTGAGGCTGTCCTCTGCTTGGGTAAGCTGTTTGGTGCCAGCTGCCTTCCTTTGTGCTGTGCAACCTCAGGTGAGAAGCTTCATCTCTCTGGGCCTCCTCCTCATCCTGTCACTCTATAGTGACAGATCTACATGTCCCAATGAATCACCAGGAGCAGGAATGGGGTGAGAATACTTCCCCGTTCAGCTGATTATTGCTTCAGGCGAGAACCACTCGGAAGCTGAAAGCAGAGGGGATAGTTTGAGGGGTCACCGAGTAATTTCTTGGACTTGAAATATCTCCCCACAGGTGCTTTTCTAAATATGAAGGAGAGGCAGGTCCCCAGAAACGGGACCAACTGTCACCAAGGAAGCAAGTTGAAGGACATGTGCAGAAGCCAGGGCTCGAAAGCCCGGGTTGTGAAGTTCAAAGGAGACCACCCCCAGGGAACCCGGCCAGAGAGGCAGGGCCAGAGAAGGAGGTGGGGCCACGCCTGTCAGCCCAGAGACGCAGGAGGCTGAGGCAGGAGGATGGCAAGTTTGAGGCCAGCCTCAGCACCTGAGTGAGGCCCTTTCCCATCTCAAAAGATGAAGAGGACTGGGGGGTGTGGCTCCAGTCAGCGGTCAGAGCCACTGGAACTGACCTCCTGGGTCCCGGGGAGGCCACAGTGGCCTCACTGGAGGGTGTTTTGTCCAAGTGTTTGCTGTCCCCTGGGGGTGGCCGTGAAGTACCCGCTGTGCTGGCCCCTGGTGCCGTCTCATTTCATTTTCACAACCATTCTCAGGCAGCCAGTGACCTTCCCAGACTCAGAGAAGGTCAGCCACCTCCCTCTGCTCCTCCCCACCCCCCTGTGTTGACAGAACTGAGGCCTCACCCTCTGTGCCTGCTCTCCTCCAGCAGCCAGGCCTTCCTGCCCCAGGACCTTTGCCCCGCACCTCAAGGCATCAGGCTCTGGTTTCCGCCTGGCTCTGCGTTTGTCATTCTGATGTCACTGGAGTCCCAGCCTCGGGGAGTCTGTCTAGAGTACCCAAGACCCTCCCACTCTGAGGAAGCCACCCCAGCTGGTCCCAGTCTGAGAATGTCCCTGTCCGTGGCTGATTCCAGCCTCCCCCCATTCTGCACCCTGCACAATCCTGGCGGGGCCACTCCTCCCCGGCTGGGTCCCAAGCCCAGCCCAGTTCTGGCACCACCAGGGACCACCTGGAGACATTCAAGGGTGCCACCAGACTCGTCCCCATCCTTGTGCCCACACAGCAGCGCCACAGCCATGCCTGGCAGACGCTGTCGGGGCTGGTCATCTAGAGGGGCTGAAACCCCTGGAGGTCCAGCACAGGGCCTACGGCAAGGCCCCGGCCACACACCAGGACCTGGGCGTCTGTGGGCTGCAGCAGCCACGGGGGCCTGGGCACTCTGGGTCCCGAGGGTACTTGTGCTCACCATCTGGACTGGTGGCTTCAGAGCACGTGGCTCAGGGACACCTCGGACCTGGCCCTCCACTGGCAGGTGCCTGCAAAGCCCACAAGAAGTGGCTCATAAAACACTGGCCAGGTTTTACACAGTGGACCCTGTGACCCTAGCTCCAGAGTAAGAGCCCACACGCACGCGCACACACAGGTGTACACACTGCACACACATGTACATACACACGTGCACACACACACGCAAGCATGCACGTACACACGGGTGCACACACGCATGCACGAGCACAGGAGCGCACAGGCACTGTACACGGAGTGTGGAAGGGCGCCACCCTGTGGACAGCGGTATCTTGGCTCTGCTCACTTGGTTTTCTCTTCAGTTATAATCAAGGAATTTTTCCATAAAAAAGGGAAAAGAAACATTTGTGTGCGTGACTGTGAGAGGAGAGCAACTGGCTTGAGTCCCGGCTGGGGCCAGAGCCACCTCCCTCTGGAGCAGGGGAGGGGACAGCAGGAGCTGCCCTTGCTCACTCAGCCTGAACCAGAGGCTCCCGTGGCCACACTGAGACCCCAGACCTCGCGGGGCCGGGGGACCTGGCTCTGCCAGGGCTAGGCAACGACTAGGGCCCAGGGCAGCCACAGCCCCCCCACGTCCCCAGAGTCCAGGGTCCTGGCCAGTGTGCCGACCCTCTCCGTGTCCAGGAGCCTTCCCTGCGGCCCATCTTCCCCTCCCCCAGATGCTGCCCCCATCACCTCCACCGGCATTCCCGTGTTTTGGGTGGACAGAGGTGGTCGGGACGCSGTGCTGGTCTCTGTCCCCGATTCTTGGAGGACCTGGTGGAGCCACGGCCAGAGTGACGGTTGCAGGTCTGAGAAGAGGTGGCTCCGCCCACAGCGGGGACAGGAGCCCAGCCACTGCCCTAGGGGATGAGCCTTCCCCCGGTTCCTCCGTCCCCCTGGTCTGGCTCCGGCTCCGCCCACCAGGACCTGCTCATCCCCTGCGCCTGGTCGCAGCTCCAGTCTGCCCCACAGCAGCAGGGGTCGCCGTGAGCAGGGCTCCCTCCTGTCTGTGGCCCTGTGGCTGCGCCCCCAGCAGTCTCCCCTGGAACCCAAGGGCCTGCAGGACCTGCCGGCCCCTCCCTGCCTCTCCCCTGCTCTGCCCCAGGGACTTTGCACCCCTGCTCTCAGGCTGGACCCCAGCACCCTGGTTTCGGCTCGACTGACCCCCCCCTGCCTCCCAGAAGCCCTCCCTGCCCCATCTCCCCACCAGGAAGGCCAGTACCTCAGGGCAGTGGGCCTGGTGTGTGGCAAGACGCAGACCTGGGCAGATGGGGCAGAGCCTGGGGCCCAGGGGTCTCCAGGTCTGCATCTCCCTGGTCAACTGGTCAGGGTCTGTGCCCCTGCTGGGCTCCCGGGGCCTGGGGCGGCCTTCACCCTGGGCACCATGTGGAGCTGGTGTCCCCGGGACTCCCACCCACCCAAGCCTCAGCCTAAGACCCTCTCTGGGAGGACCAGCAGTCGACACTGATGGAGGCCACCGTGACCCATCGTGCTCCGAAACAGAAGGCAGCCATGGGGGACAAGGCCGCAGCTCCCAGTGCTGCAGGAAGCAGCTGCCCTTCTCCCCCAGCAGAGAGCAGACGGGCGCTTCAGACCCCACCGCAGGAGCACCAGGCACCCGGGGGCAGGTGGGGGTGACCCAGCCCCCAGACAGGCAGGTGGGGGTGACCCAGCCCCCAGACAGGCAGGTGGGGGTGACCCAGCCCCCAGACAGGACAGGCTCTTCATTCAATATGGCTTTATTTCCCACCCGGGTCTATTGCATCCCACTACCGAGCCCCGGGTGGTCAGTGGGTCACCTCCCCAGGAGACAGGCAGGAGGTGGCCCAGATGCCTGCCGGGCAGCAGACACCCAGAGGAGTGGGCAGCAGGTCCCAAGCCCTTTCACGGGACAGGAGGCGCTGCCTTGGGCCAGCACGTGGACACCAGTGCGCGTGTGCCAGAGTAGCCTGGGCTGGGGCAGTCTCCTGTGCTGGCCTTGGGCTCCTGACTGGGCAGGCAATGGAAGGTGGCCTTGTCCTTCCAGACAGGGTCTGGAGGGGGCTGCCAGCGGCTGTCTGGGACAGAAGCACGGCTACAGCACCAACAGCCAGAACCCAGCGAGCCAGGTGGGCCGGACAGCTGTGGTGGGCCAGCCCCTGGAGCCTGACCAGCCAGGTCTCTGCAGCCGATGCCCTCGGAGAACACACTGGTCGTATTGCTAAGGAAGGGACAGGCGGCCTCCCTGAGGGCACTGCCCTGCACAGTTCCTCCGGGGTCAGGGTCCCCAGGAGTGGCCCAGGGCACACCCCCTCTGCAGACCTCCCTCCGGGGACAGAGGGTGGCCCCCCCAGTCTCTTTCCCAGATGGACAGAGGCGTGAGGAGCCTGGGGCGGGCGAGCTCAAGGGACAGGCGGCCTGCGGGAGCCGTGGGGCACGTGGGGAGCCGCAGGGCATGTGGGGACAGGAAGCGCTAGGGACTGGAGCTGCAGGGTGTGAAGACTCTGGGCTCAGGGCCAGCAGGCAGAGGGGCAGCAACCAGCTAGTGACCCGCAGGTGTGGCAGGAGTGGCCACCTGGGGGCAGGCTCAGCACCAGCCCAATCTGCTTGCTCTGTCCACCTGGTGGCCAGGGGGTGTCGTGGAGCGGTGGGCAGGGGAGGCCACAAATGGCCGAATCCTGAGACCTAGAGGCTGCAGCCAGCAAGTGGGAGAAGGGAGAAGTGTCACCACACCCAGGTCAGCAGCAGGGTGGAGAGGAGACCTGGGCGTCCAGGGGCGTCCAGGACAGCCAGCTGCCAAGGTCAGGATCGGGCCTGACCCCAGCTCTGCAGCTGGGCTTCCTCCGTAAGGTGCGTGTGCTGGGCAGGCCCCGGGCTGGGGCTCGTCCACGCTGGCTCCCGCGTCCGAGGCCTGGCCCCAGCCAGCTCCGCGCCCTCCTCCGGGGGAGTCCATGGCAAAGAGAAAGAAAGACGCCCCAGGCCTGGAGAGCGGCTCGGAAACTGTAATTCAGTGTCAACGGCCAGGGGTGCTGTCCTTCCTGCGTGGCGGGCGCGGACGGGTGGCCGGGTCACTGTGTCTTGGCCTTTACCAGTAGCCTCTGCACGGTCTTGTAGAGGAGGTCAAAGTGCTGGGGGCGGCAGGGCCAGAGGTGAGGCCATGGGGACCTGGGAGGCTGAGGCGCTGCAGGCTGCTGCCTCTAGGCTGGGCGGAGGCCTGGCGGGCCCACCCCGTCCCGGAGGCCCTGCCCGCCGCTCACCTGGACTGCCGTGTAGGCCATCCCGAGGTAGGCGCCGATGCAGACGGCCAGGAGCAGGTCGAAGATAGCCGGCTTGACCCTGGGGGAAGCAGGGGCCCGTGTGGCCAGGGAAGAGCAGGGTCAGTCAGGGCCAGCATGGCCGTCTCCCCGGGTCCGTGGCCCGTGGCCCGCTTGGCTGTCATAGGCTGCCACTCACCTGTAGGCGTTCATCACCTGCTTCAGCTGGTCATAGAAGACGAACTCGGGGTCCCTGGGGAGACAGGATGTGCTCAGAGGTCAGCCAACACTGGCACGCCAGGCTGTGCCCTGTCCCCACAGCCTCTGGGACCAAGACAGAGGCCAGTGGTCCAGGTACCAGATCTCCCAGACATTGGGCCATCCACCGTCCCCACAGGGAGGCTGCAGGGATTCTCCTGTCACCTGCCCGCGTTCTTCTGAAGGCGTTAAAATGTGCTCTTGAAAACTGAAAGGGCTGGGAAAGACCCCGGCCCAGGGCGCGGCCCTGCCTGGTGCCGCAAGGAGGGCCAGCCAAGGCACCAGGGCCCTACGAGGCGCCTGAGGGTGGAAGGCGGCCGGCAGAGGCCCAGCGGCACACCTGCCTGGCCTCCAGGTAGCGGCAAGGGCTGGATGCCCGCCGTTTGGCAGGGACCTGCTTGGGGGCACCTGCGTCTCTACTTATCCTTCCTTCCTCCTGCTCCTATCTGCTGCGCCCGGTGCGGCCCAGACGCCCACCGCTTGTCGGCCTTCACGTGGTGCTGCCGCACGTCCTTCAGGTAGCGGCTCAGGAAGTGCTCCAGCGTGCTCAGGAAGGTGCCGTCCTTGTCCAGCAGCTGTGCAGCCCGCGGCTGGTTGGTGAGCCAGTCCATCACCGAGTCCAGCTGCTCCTGCTGGACCTGCTGCAGGAAGGCGGCCAAGGTCACAGCAGCCCTGGGCCCGGCACTGGCCGGCCCCGCCCCACCGGCCCTGCCCATGCCCCCCCCCCCGCCCACATGGCCCCACCCACGGCCCTTACCATCTGCTCGGTGAACACGGGCATGTCTGGCGGGGTGCCCTGCAGAGACAAGAGGTGCAGGCTGCTGCCCCGGCCCACGGTGTCCAGGCACAAGAGGAGTCAGGGGCACAGCGGCCCCGAGTCCACCTGGACAGCGGTGGGGGCTCGCGGGCGGGGCTCACCTTCTCTGTCAGGTTGTATATGACCCGCGTCAGGGCCTCCGCGATGATCCTCGTGTTGCGCGTCAGGGTCTTCGAGTCCACCCGGGACCTGCAGGGAGGGCGCGGGAGGGTCCCTCGCGGTCAGGTGGTTTCTGAGCATGGGCAGGGCCCACAGCGGACAGGACGACAGGAGCGGTACTCGGCATGGGCAGCTGAGCCCTGGGGACACGCGCGCTGCCCCGCATGCCTCCTGCCTAGCAGGGAGCTGAGGGCAGACCTCCAACACCTGTGCAGGGGCCGACAGTGTCCCCAGAGCTCGCGTCCACCTCGGACCACGCCCCAACGGTGAACAAGGCCTGGCACACAGGCCTGTGGAGATATGGCCACACTTGTGTGGGTGGACCCATGTCTGGTGCCTGGCCTCCTCGTGAGGAGACCCGGGGATGGCCCACGTCAATGGAGGTGTGACCAGCACACGGCCGCCATCCAGGCAACTAGGCCCTGGTGCGCGAGGACCTCCCTACAGGCTGTGAGGACATGGCCCCGAGGACGGGAATAGCCCTGGGGCTGCAGGCCCTGTCTGCGGCCCTGTCCTGTGGCCCTAGGGCACCGGGGGAAAGGCGCCCTCAGCCAGGGCAGAGGGTGGCACAGCCCAGGCCCGCCCAGCAGGGCCCCTCACACACCTCACAGGGGCCCAGTCTGCTGCAGCCCAGAGAACCCAGTGCCCACAATGTCCTGGGGGAGCCCTGGTCTGGACTGTGGGTGGCAGATGGTGACGGGCAGGGTGGGCCAGGGGCAGCGGCCTGGACTGCGGCCCCACTCTTGCCACCCTCCTTAGCCCCTGGTCCCTGACGTGCCGCCGCTTCCCCTGCCTGGTGGAGACTCCTCCCAGGCTCCAGGCCCCTGTCCTGCGGTCACCCGCCCCATTGGGCTAAGGAAGCTCTGGAAGGCCTCACCGCACGTCCATGATGCTGCTGCGCTGGCCGTCACGGTGGCTCTCCAGGTGGGACAGGGTGAAGGCGGGCAGCCGGCGGATGGCAAAGCGCTCGTGCTCCCAGGCCAGCACGTCGTCGGCCAGGTTGATCTTCTTGTGCACCATGGAGAACCGTACCTCGGGGAACTGGTGGGCGGCTACCTGCACCCGCAGCGCTGTCAGGGTGGCCCTGCCGGCCATTCCCCGATGCCCCACAGCCCGAGGCAGGTCCGGCGCCCCCCACCCGGCCACAGTGGCCACAGCACCCACCGTTTCCAGCTCCCGCAGGAAGGCGTGCTGCAGGGTCCCCTCCCGGGGCGGCCTGGACACGTGCAGGTGCAGGCTGCTGCCCCGGCCCACGGTGTCCAGGCACAGGACGAAGGCCACGTTGTCCTGGAGCAGGCTGGAGTCTGTGGGCGTCGAGGGTTTTGAGGTGGCAGCAGCCAGGAGGAGGCCCGTCGCCCCTGGGTGCTGCTCTGCCCCGGCCACCCACCTGTGTGGTCCAGGTTGTCCTCCAGCCAGCGCTTGGTCCCCTGGTAGTTAAACTTGCCTCCTCCAGAAGCGAAGAACAGGAGGTTGTACCTGGGGGGGAGCCTCGGGTCACAGCCAGCACCCTGGGCGGAGGACGGGCAGCTCGTGGGCCTCTGCCCTGGGCTGCGGACACTGGGGCCGTTCTCTGGTGCAGCGTCCCTGCCTCCACCGCCTCCAGGCCAAGAGTCCCCAGCCACGAGGCCACACGTCCCCAGACACTGAGTGGGGTGACGGGGGGGGGGTGTGGGGGGAGGCTGTCTCAGGTGAAGGCCCACTGCAGCGGCTTCGAGCTCCTGGAGAGCAGGAGACACTGGGCTGGTGGCCCGGGGTGTAGACGCCAGGAAGACAGAGGGGTCTCCTGGCACCGTCCACTTGCCAGGGCCACCCTGCGCTTCCAAGGTGGCCAGCTGCATTGACAGCCATGGGGCTTGGCCCTGCCTGGAGCCCCCCAGGGAGGTCCCCCTGCCTCCCACTGTCCCTGCCTGAGGCAAACTGTCCCCCAAATTCACACTCCTGGGCCTCCAGGTGGCATTCCGTGGAAACAGGGTCGTGGTCAACAACAACTGTGAGAAGGTGGCTATTGTGGGGCCAGGAGGCCACTGAGCCTGGTGGCTGGACCCCGGGTAGAGGAGACACGGGCACCAGGCGGCCCTGGGACGACAGAGACTGCAGGTCCACGGGCACCTGGGCCAGGAGTTGGCTCTTCCCTCGGGCCGGGATTTCAGATGGACGCCGGAGGACACCTCAGAGCAGGGCACATGCTCACGAAGGGCGTGTCAGGGCGAGAGACCATCAGAACGGCCTTCACACTGTGCCAGGGCCCCAGGCTGCCCGCCACTGCCCCTGAGCAAGCAAGACAACTGCCCAGAGCGAGTCCCTGGACGATCTACAGGCCATCTGGCCAGGGCCACAGTCCACACACAGCTGCGTCCAGAAGGGACTGCGTCTGTGGTATCCCAGGCAAGAACGCCGAGGGGCCCCTGTGCAGCTGCTTGCTCCAAGCTCCTGAGTCCGCAGTGCTGTCACCTGCTCCAAGGGGCCATTCACCCTGTGCCCCGTGGCCTGGCTGCGACAGCTCAGCAGGTGACAGACAAGTGTCCGCTGCCCAGTGCCACGGGTGGGACAGGCCCCTGCTGCTGGCTGCAGGCGCAGATGCTCTGCACACGGCCACAGTCACTAGGCAGCACCCGGGACGAGAGGCTGGGGACATTCTGGGCACAGCGGCCCTGACTTCTCCAAGCAGCTACCCCGGCTCTCCAGGGGACCCTGCGCTAGGGGACACTGGTGGCTGTCACGACTGGGGTGTCCTGTCCTGGAGCAGGTGGGGCCGGACACTGCTCAGCAGGATGCCACCAGAGTGTGACGGGCCGCTGCACGCCAGCACCTCACGCCTTCACCATTGGCCAGAGCCCTGCCCGCCGCCCGCCCGCCCGCCCACCGGGTGCCAGCACTCACGCCGCGTGGGTGCGCTTGTAGGTGTAGAGCCTGGAGAAGAGCCGGGCCAGCTCCAGCAGCACCGAGACACCACTCCCGTTGGAGTCCGCGCCCAGGGACAGCCACTGCGGAGAGACAGCCCACCGCCAGCGGTCACCGAGAACCCCCACCAGGCTCGCCTCTGGCCCGGCTCCGGCCCCCGGCTGGACGGCTAGCCCCTCTGCCTTGCCTGACTGACCGCATCCCACACCTGCAGGCCGAGGCCCCAGCAAGGTCCGACCGGCTCCCTGAGGACAGCACCCAGGCCGCCCGGCCTCCGCCCGGCCCTGCGCGTGACAGCTGCCCAGCCTGGTGCCCAGCTGCAGGGCACCGTCCGACCACCTGCCCCTGCCTTCACCTCATCTGTACGTCCTAACACGGGGTCCCCTGTGGGTGACAAGTGGCTCTGGGGAAGAGGAAAGCGTTGGGACCACCCAGGGGCACAGTGGTCCCTGAGGGACGCTGTGCTCGGTGTCCCCTGAGGGGAAGCACCAGAACCGGCGGGTCTAGGGCCGACGAGGAGACGGGGACTGCTCCTGGGGACGGGCTTCCTTCTGGGGTGACACGACGCTCGGGAACGAGACTGAGGCCCGGGATGTGCCAGGACACTGGCTGGACACTCCTGTCCTGCAGAGCTCACCCCAGCAGCTCGGGGTTGGGGCAGGGGACGCAGGCCCGAGGCCAGGCGCTGTCTCTGGAGGAGGGACAGGAGGGCGGGGACACGCCGAGCCCCGGGCCCAACCCCAGTGCCAAGTCCAACAGTGAGGACGCAGCCACGGAACCCCGAGGGCTCCGGGCAGGGGCACTCACCGGGGCCACCCCGAAGGCGTCGTAGTGAGCCACGATGACGATGGTGGGCAGGTCCTCTCCACCCAGCCCCGTCAGCCGCCCCTGTGGAGAGAAAGCGTGACCTGGGACCAGCCAGATGGTGGCCGCCGCCCGCCACTCCAGCCCAGAGGGGCAAGGGGCTGGTCGCCCAGCTCCAGAAAACGCCTCCTCCCTGGGGTGTCCCGGCCCCCAGCCCCACGAGCCCCCAAGAAACCCCTGGGGACAGGGCAGAGGGGGGACAGGGCCCCATCTGCTGTGAAGCTGGCCCTGGGGAGGAGGCGGAGGAGCAGGAGGTGACCCCGACACGGCAGCCACCCGGGGCCTCTCCCGCCTCCCGGCCCCTCCAGCCTGCTCAGCCCTGGGGCCAGGCCGTCCACGGTGACTGCTCAGGAAGCCACCAAGGGAGACGTGAGCATGGGCCTGGCCCAGCCGGACATACACTCAAGGCTTGCGAGACCCACTTCCCCCAGGAAGAGGCCACCCTGCCAAGGTGACGCGGCAGGAGCCAGCCCCACTGCCTGGAGCGGAGCCACACACAGGGCCTGCCGCGGTCTGGGGCCACCACGGCACGCTCCCCTCCCCGTCACGGGCGGGAAGTCTCCCGCCTGTTTCCTGTAGCAGCCGTGGCACTCGGTTGCTGTGGCCCTGTCCAGGTGGCGCAGGCCACCAGTGACCAGGTCTCCCTGCCTCCGCCACGCTCCATGAGCTGCCCGCCAACCGGCACAGCCCAGGAGCCTCGGCAGAGACGGCCAGGCCACAAGTGACCCCAGAGGTGACGGCGGAAGAGCGGCCTGACCCTGGCTCCAGGACTGAGGCCTCTCCCCAGAAAATGGGCCGACCCCAGCCCCAGCCTCCAGCCGACAGGAGGGTCCAGGGAGTGGACCGCCAGGGCCGGCAGCTTCTGGTCCCCCCTCCTGTGAACAAGGTGACACAGAAGCTTCCAGAACTAACAACAGGTGGCCACGTGGGCAGGTTGGGCCCCAGAGGTGCGGGCGCAGGGAGCTGCCCTGAAAGCTAGGCCACAGCTTGGCGGGGCCTCAGGGAGCCGGGCAGGAAGGACCCCAGCCCGCGGCCACAACCCTGCCCGGGGCTCCTGCCCGCCCCGGCCTGGCTGCCCACCCCACGGCGCCCCACGAGCCCCTCGGTCTGGCTGACCCCGGACAGCAGAGCACCCAGGCCCTGTCACTGGGGATGAGCCCCCCGGCAGAGCCCCTGGGTCAGCTAAGCCGCTCAGAAAGAGAGCATGGCACGGCCACCCTCGTTGGCCACCCTCCTGCACGCAGCAGGGACATGGCAGACGCATCTAGAGGCCCCTCCCGGCCACTGCCCGCGGGGCTCTGGGGCCACGGGGGGCCTCCGCCTGGGGGTCAGGAGCCTGGAGGGCCGGCACTCACCTCCACGCTGGTGATGAGCCAGTCGCTCACGGCCTTGCTCTGGACCCCACTGGTGACCATCTGGAAGCCATTGGCAGTGGCCGTGTGGAGCAGCACTGGGAACAGGAGAGGGACAGGTCACCTGGGCTGGGGGCTGGCTTCCTCCAGCCGCACAGGGCACTGAGGACGTGGTGGCTGAGACCTGCACACAGGAACCCGGTGCCCCCCACCGGCTCCTGGGCACACGGCACATGCCACTGACCGCCACCCGAGGCTCTGCTGGAACCTGGCCTTCCACGGCCGACAGGGAACGGCCTCCCGGCTGAGGCCAGCTGCACACCTGGAGTCTCGAGGCCAGCGGGCTGGGGCATGGCCCGCCGCTCCCAGCGCCCAGCATGTGCGAGGCCCTGGCCCCATCCCCAGTGCCGAGGACAGCGGGGACCCTCACGACACTGGGGGCCTACAGGACGTGCCCGGGGGGCAGCCAGGGGCCCAGGAGCTGGACGTGAGGCTGGTGCAACTGCGTGAGCCTCCGTGTTCCAGGTCAGGCCACCCAGCTGTGCCCAGCACGCGGCCTCCCCCGCCGCGCCCACACTCCAAGCCCTGACCCAGCACCCCGCGGCTGCCACGCGGGAATCTCTAGGACGCCTGCGAGGATCCACGGACACCAGGCTGGGACCCTGCTCAGGCCCGAGGTGACACTCCTGTCCCTCGGGCAGCTGCTCTACGGGCACGCGGCTGAGTGAAGGGCTGCCCCTGGGACCTCAAGAACCTTGCCCACCAGCCAGGTCTCACCCACAGACGGCCACCACGGCGCTCCCCAGGAGCCAGACCAGGTCCACCTGTGTCCACGGCCCCACCTGCCCCTGGGGCTGGGAGGAGCCAGGGCCCCGCATGCCCAGCCGGCCGCACCCCGGCCTTTGCCTTTCATTCTGGACAGGGGCTCGCTAGGTGGCCCGGGCGGGCCTGGACTTGCTGGCCACCTGCCTCGGCCTCTGCGTGGTGGGATGACAGGAGGGGCCACCACATTGCTGCCCTGCGGCTCCTTACGCCCCCATCCGGGTCCCTTTGTCTTTCCCCCGTGGGACAGGGACGCCAGGCCAGCTCCACCCCAGCCCCTGCTGTCCACAGGTGGAGGCCGGGCAGCTCCTCCAGCTGACCTCCCCACCTTCCCCAGGGCACAGCCGCGTCCTTCCCCAGGAGTGCGCCGACCCACGCGACCCCCAGGTGGTGATGCAGCGGCCTCCTCGCAGAGGCTGGCCCAGAGGGGACGAGCAGGCCGTGTCCCGCAGAGCGGAAATGGGGGCACAGGGCCCGAGGCTGTGCCGGGGCCCGCTGCAGCACCTGGCCACAGGCTGGGCGGCCCCCGACCTGGCCTCTGCTCAGGGACGCCTCCCGCCCTGCCCAGGCCGGAGCCTACCTTCGGCGGCAGAGGCAGAGCCCTGGGAGGCGGAGGCGGCCTGGGTCTGCTCGTAGATGGACAGCAGGGCCTCGTCCTCCACGGCAAAGTACACGGGGACGATGGTCTCCATGGCCAGCATCTCAGGCTCGATCTCCATGAATTGCTGGGGGAGGGAGTGGGCAGGCTGCTGACTAGGGGCCTGGCGTGGCCACTCCTGGGGGCAGCGGGCCCTGGGGTGGGGCAGCTCCACCTGGGTCTCCGGTGGGTGCCACCAGGTCCCCTTGATTGACAAGGGCTCCTCCCCAGGCCACTGACAATGTCTGAGGCTGAGTCTTTCTCCGGGGTGGGCGTCCTGGGTGCTGCAAGGTGCTGGGCAGTGTCCCTGGCCTCCACTCACTCCAGGCCAGGACACCCCAGACCCAAATGACATCTGAGAGCACTCAGTGTCTCCTGGGGACAAAGCTGCCCCCAGGGAGCATCAGTGCTCAGAGAGGCACAGCAGCCTGCCTCAGGTCACACAGCTGACCCGGAACCACAGCCTCTGTCCTGGCGAGGGAGGGCTCACCCGCACGACGTCCTGGGGCACAGCGGCCATGGCCCGCGGCAGGATGATGACCACGGCCCCCGCCGACTGCCGCAGGGCCTTCTGGTACTGCTCGTAGGAGAAGTCCGCCAGCCGCATGAGCACGCAGCGCCGGCTCAGCACGTCCGCGTCCATCGTGCGTGCCTCCGTGTTGAGCACTGCGTTCCGGGTGCCTGCGGGGACGGGCCACCTCAGTCTGGCAGCCCCAGGCATGGGCGGTGCTGGCCACAGCCTGACTGCCAAGTGCCAGAAAAAGGCAGAGTCCCTTCCCCTCGGGGACGCAGCCCCCAACCCGCAGGGAAACCCCAGCGCAGCCGGACACGGCCAGGCCCTGCCGCTCGGCCAGGGTCAGGAGGACCCGCCCGCTTGCAGCCCTGGCCAGTGCGCCTCCAGATGGCCTCAGTCCTGCATGCAAAGGCAGCAAACGAAGGGGTCACCCGGGGGTGGCTGGGCGCAGGGGGACCCGGGCATGGGGCAGCGGTGTCAGACGGGCCCTGGTTCCGGAGGGCTCTCACAGGGCCAGGCTGACCCCCGCACGGGCACAAGAGGACAGACCCCCGGGTGGCCTCGACACAAGCTTTCTAGAAAACCAGGGGCTGTAGCAGCACGGGCCCCGGGCCACCCTGAGCACGTCCAGGGAGGGCAGGGGGCCCTGAAGGCCTGGTGCCGTCGTCTGGCCCCGACAGGGCCCAGGGCCCACRAGGCCACGCGCGACTCCTGGTATCAGCTGGGGCCGTGCGGGGACTGCAGCCCCGGGCCTCCTGCCAGGGACTGGTGGCCAGAGCCCCGCTCCCCCCTGCTGCCTGCCTGCACCCTCAGCCCAGCCCTGGACAGTCCACGTCCACTCTGGGGCTCGGGCAGGGGATGCCCAGCAGCTGCCTGTGTCCGCGCCGACCCACTCCCTCAGCGAGCACTGGAGCGGGGGACGGGCAGAGGCCAGGTCCCTCCAGGGCCCCAAGACAAGCCGCGGGCACCCTGGGCTCCTCGGCACTGTGGACACAGGGCTGGTCACTCTGGGTGGTGTCCCAGGCCTGGCAAGGTGCTGAGCAGTGTCCCCGTCTCTGCCCCTACAGATCAGGACACCACAGGCGTGACAGCCACACGTCCCCAGACGTCAGTGTCCCTTGGGCGCAGAACCACTTGTGGTGAGACCCCCTGCCCGGCCCCTAACTGCCTCCRTCCCCTCTCTCCTGAGAGCCTGGGCCAGCCACGTGGACAGCACGGCCACAGACACGGCCACCCGGCAGCCCCGGAGGCCCGGCCGGCCGAGCTGCCCTTCCCGCCTTGCAGGAGCCCCTGGGCCACAGCAGGTCTGGGCACTGGCTCCTGGCTCTCCCGGGTCACCAAGGTCCACCCGCGGCAGCCTCTCCACAGCGTGAAGGGATGGCCCCACCTGTGCGCCCACCAGGGCAGCGTCCTCCAAGGGGCACTGACCGCTGAGCTCTGCGGGGCCTGGTCCTCGAGCGCACCAGGAACAGGTGAGCCCACCGAGGGACAAGGGATGGCAGGTCGTACCCCATGGGCAGCCCCAAGGTCAAAGGCCAAAGGCAAGGGACCAAGGTCTCAGACATCCCAAATGACACCAGGCGGAGCCAGCAGGTGACGCAGACCAGGCCAGGTGTGGCCCGGCCTCCGGCTCGAGACCCTAGCAGGAAGTGGAGAAGACCCTGTCCCACGGCGGCCGGGCGACTGACAGCTGGCGGGGCTCAGGGCACAGCCCCACCCAGCAGACCTCACAGGCTCCTGGCCATGCGAGCCCCGCCCAGGGACGGGCCAGCTCTCCGCCCAGGCCAAGGCCACCCTTCCACCCTCGCCCACACGGTGTGGCCAGCTCAGCCCACTGTCCCCTATTCCTCCCTGGCACAGGCCCAGGGGCCAGGCTTGTGGGCACTCACAAGGGCCACCACCCAGATCCCTGGCCCTGAGGGGAAGCGGACAGGGGCGCAAGCAAGGAGCAGCCAGGCCGGGGGGGTCAGAGTGCCACCGCAGGAGGGGCTAGCTGGGCCACTGGCTGGGCACCTGCTCTGCCCCCACACCTGCCCACGTTTCCCAACAGGGCCACAGGAAGTTGGGCAAGGAGCAGGCAGCGGGCAGGGGCAGCGCTGAGGCCCGGGGCCAGGGGAGGGGTCATGGCTGAGTGTCCTCAGGCCTGTCCTGTCCTGCCTGCCCGCACAGGCTCCCGGACCAGCCTCCCGGACACACCACGCAGAACAGGGGCCACCTGACAGGCCCTGCGACCCCCCAGTCTTTCTGGCCTGGCAGGGGGAGGCCAGATCCAGGGGAAGGCCACACCCACGCGGGGCCAGCAGCTTCTGGGCAGCTCATCAAGGACCAAGAAAAAGTGGGGTTCAGGGAGGAGGACACATAGGGTCAGAAAAAAGAATGGGAAGGGCCCAGGACCAGGAGAAGGACCCAGGACCGGGGAGAGGCCAGGGAAGGGAGGTCTGGAAGAAGGGCCAGCAGGGAGGCAGCAGGCAGAGGCTGGGGGCAGCAGGCAGAGGCTGGGAGGGAGGAGGCAAAGGCCTGGAGGCGCAGAGGAACCGAAGGTCCCACAAACTCGGCCAACTTCTGAGGGCAAGGCTGTAGAATGGGGTCACTCCGGCTGCCTGCAGGGGCAGCACTAGGCCCAGGTGGGCAGCCCCCTGAGGGGCTGGTAACAAGTGGGGTGCGCAGGAAGGACAGGTGGAGATGAGCCGGGCAGGGGCGGTGACACGGGACATGGAGAAGCAGGGTGCCCGAGGTCTGCGGCTGGCATTCTGAACTGTGGACTCTTCTAGACAAACCTCCTGTACTCCAGGGCTGTGCTGCCCGGCTAGGTAGCTGCTGGCCACATGTGGCCGCTTGAATTTGTTATAGTTAAATAGCACTAAACACCACATCCAAGGCCACCAGAGGCTGGCAGCTCCCAGACCAGACAAGAGACGCAGTTCCACTGGACAGCGCCCTTCAAGACCTGTCCCAGGGCAGAGGCCGGACAGCTCGAGGGAAGTGCTCATTCTAATCCACGGCCCCTCAGCACGGGGGACACTAGGCTGGACAGTCGCCTGGGGAGAGAGGGGTCCTGAGCAGTGTCCCTGGCCTCCACCACTCCAGGGCAGGACACCCCAGGCATGACAACCACATGTCCCCGGACATGGCCCAGGGTCTCCGGGGCTGACAAACCATCACTCTAGAAAGAAACGAGGCCACTTTGGGCAGAGGGAATCCAAGAGGCCATGGGAATCTGGCTCCCGGGGCCTGGCAGAGGCTGGTCCACAGGCCGGGGCTAGCCTCCAGCAGTCCCCCATATGGCCCTGAACGTGCACAGGGGACCCTGACAGGAGGGCAAGACTCGACTCTGGGGTCAGACTGGAGGGAAGGCAAACCAGACACCAGAAGATTCTGGAACCCACTATGGCTGGAGCGACAGAGGGCGCTCTGACCGCGGGCACGGGAGGGGGGTGGACAGGCAGTGGGGCGGGGGACAGACGGTGGGGCGGGGGCAAGAGCTGAGCAGGCAGCTGAGCAGGTCCAGGTCAGGGGTCGTGGGTGGGACCTGAGCCAGGGTTAGGGACCCCAGGAGGCCTGGGAGAAGGGAGCAGGTGGGCTCTGGGGTGGAGGAGGTGGACGCTGGGCTGAGGGCGACGTGTGTCAACAGAAGGAACAAGAGTGAGGTCAGGGGACACCGAAAGGCAGGCCAGAAGCAGGCGGAGGCCGGCCTGGGCGAGGGATGGGGACGGAGTCGGATGGACAGGGCAGGGCGGTGGGTGCAGCGGCTGGCCGTGCGGAGAGCTGGCTGGACTGGGACGGACGGGACAGGTCAGGGCAGCCCATTGAGGGCGCACAGACCAGCGCAGGAGGGGGCCAGGGTGAGCGCCGCAGCGGACCTGGTGGACGGCAGGGGCCGGCGCAGGTGCTGGCCTGGGCCCGGCCAGGGCCGGGGGTTGGTGGCCGGCGGGCCTGGACCAGGGTCTGCCGCCCGGGCCGGGCCGGGCCGGGCCGGGCCGGCGGCGGGCTCGGCGGCGCACGCGGCGGGGCGGGGCGGGGCGCGCACGCACCGTAGGGCTGGCCCTGCAGGTCGTACTGCTGCATGCGGTACACCGTGAACTCGTGCGCGGCGTCGGCGGCGGGCAGCGGCGGGGCCACGAGCAGCAGCACCGCGGGCAAGAAGACGATGAAGCCGAGCGGCAGGCACGACGCCTTCAGCATGTTCTCCAGCACCTCGCCCGCTTCCTCCAGCATCCTGGCCGGCGGCGGGTCCGCGCGGGGCGGCGGCGGGGACGGGACGGGACGGGACGGCACGACGGGACGGCGGCCGCGGCTCCCGCGGACTCACCTCGGCATGGGCAGCCGCCGGGGTCCTGCGGGCAACGCGTCGGGCAGCCCGCGTCCGCACCGGGGTCCTGCACGCATCGCCGCGGGCAGCCTTGCGCGCGCTGCCTCTCGGGAGCTGTAGTCCGCCCGGGCGCGCGGAGCCGCCTGGGAGTTGTAGGCCCACCGCGGGCTCCCGACGGAAGCCCTGAGGGGTTGTTTCGCTAACGCTACCGGAATTTCACAGGAATCCCAAGTCGGGAACGACCTAGCTTTGGGCAGCCATTCTCCAGTGGAACTTGCTTAGACCCTGGCCTTGGCTGGGGTAGGGGCGCGGAGCGGGGAGATAAGAGACGCGGTCAGGGCGTGACCTTGCGACCTGGAAGGAAATGCGGGGGGGGGGGGGAAAGCTGGAGGAGGAAGTGCCTCTCTGGCGCGCTGGTCCTCCTGGGTGTCGTGGTCCCTTCGCACGAGCACAAAGGGTCATGGGAATTGTAGTTTCTGGGGCGGGGGAATAAAATTTAAAATTCCCCCCCAATTCAAATGTCAAGCTGGCGACGGCTCAGACCTTTGCATGAGTCGAGCATCGGTGTCGTCCCGGAGCCCTGAGCGCAGCGCCTGGCCCCGGCGGGCGGCAGCGCCATTTTCGGGTGAATGAATGAGAAAAGGGTAAAACCCTTGCGGGACGGCGGCCACCGGGTGCAGGGGGCGCTGGGATTTGTAGTCTGGAGCCTGGACCACGTGCGGGGGCTGCGGCGTCCTGGTGTTCACCCTGACTTCTACTTGAGGCATAATTATACTAAGAAAAGGGAAAAAAACGTGACTTCTTAGAAATTAAAGTTTAGTCTCCGGGTGTCCTATTGATGTTTCCCTAACCTGACAGCTTAGTGTCTGGAGGCCAGGGGACCGTGATCCTCAGTAACCCACACCCCCTTGCACAGGTGGGAAGACTGAGGCCAAGGGTGCAGCCAGAGCCCCAGCCCTCATGTTGACATCCCAAGCTCCAGTGAGGTCACCCAAGGCCTCCCTTCTGTACCCTCTGAGAAGTGGCATTTGTACTAAGTAAAAGCACAAGTTCAAATCCCAGCTCCTTCCTTTCCCAGCTTTGTGGCTCTCTGAGCCTCAGTTTCCTCAGCTGTCATAACGATGACCAGTAGCTGCAGTTCCTCACCCACCACCAGAGGCAGGTGAGGATTCGAGGTCATCGGTGCAAACTGGTTAGAGAAAGAGCCCCTGCTGTAAGCGCTCAGTCTGTGTTGGTGTTCTGAGAAGGTGCGGACGGTGTGGACCTCGGGCGGATGCGTGTCCGGCGCCTGATCCTGGACGTGGCCTCTGGGGTGTCTACACGGCAGGCTCCCCTCTCCTCCCAGGCCCAGCAGGTCCCAGAATACAGACACACAGTGGTTGCATGGATGGGTAGTGACGCCCCCAGCAGACCTGCTGAGCACCCCGTCTGCGGACCCTGCTCCGGCTGCCCCAGGAGGTGAGCAGCAGGAGAGCTGATCCTGGGGTGCATGCCTCTCACTGGCCCCGTCCCTTACACCTCTGCCCTCCGCCACCCCTGCCCCAGGCCCGGCTGACAGCTGGACCCGCAGGACCTGGTGCACTCAGTGGGGAGGCCAGCCTGGTCAGCACGAGGCCTGGCTCCCACCCCCCAACAAAACAAAAGCACGCGATGCGCGGTCTCTGGAACCTTCCCAGCCTCCCAGGAGGCCGCCGTGTCCAGCCTCACTCCACAGGTGAGGAGACAGGCCGCTGGTGCGGCTACTCAGCTCTAGACCCGGGCAGGGGGTCCCTGAGCCACCCAAGGCGCAGCTCCTGGGGACAGCTGGTGGAGGCGAGGCGGGAAAGCGGGTTCTGAGACCAGCAGGGGCTCCCAGAGCTCTGGGTCACTAGACGCCTGTGTGCATGGCCACAGGCCGGGTGCTGGGACGGCCCAGGCAGCGCCAGGGCCAGAGAGGGGCAGGTGTGGTCGGGGACTGGAGCCAGGGTGGAGGCCACCTGGGCAGCTGGCGAAGCCTGAAGGAGTCCTAGGGGCAGACGAGGGAGGCCACGTGAGGGGATGCCAGAGGTCAGCTCAAGGTCAAGCTCCCAAGGGCACAGAGACAGGCTCGGGGCTGGGCTGCCCAGGCAGAGGCAGGAAGCGGGGGTAACAGGCCCCGGCCAGGCGCCGGGAGCTTGCCCCGCACGTCCAGCGAGCATCCCTGTGTGGGCACTCGGCCAGCCTCGCGCCCAGCGGGTTCCTCCGGAAACGTGGTCCTGTGCCCAGGATCCAGCCGTCGAGCCCTGACCCCCGGGACCCCAGCAAGGGCTGCTGCTGGAAGCAGGGTCCTCCCCAGAGTCAGCAGGACTGGGGCCCGGGGGGTGGCCCCCGTCCAGTGCAGGGCGACTGAGATGGAGGGGAGCTCAGGAGAAGCTTCCAGAGCCCAGGGCACCGAGGCCGCCAGCCTCCACCAGACCCTGGAGGGGCCTCAGCAGCCAGCCCTGGCCACACCTGGACCCTGACTTCGGCCCCCAGAACCCAGCGGAGGAGTGGCCCTGCCGTCGGAGGCCGTCTGTGGCCCCAGGGAACCGACACGTGGCACCTCGACCTTCAGGTTTGTGGGTTTTAATGAGTTCTGTGGCCACGCACGGCCAGTGGGCACAGCTCCGGGCAGCGGCGGAACCAGTCGCCACCTCCGCTGCTGCGGCAGAGAAACGGCCACCTGGGTGGGCTGCCAGTGCCCAGCACCCACGGGGGCATCCCAAAGCCCCTCTCCTGAGCCCTGGGCTGGCGGGGCAAGGAAGCCCCCCGGGCTGGGCCCAGGTACGAGGAAAGCCCAGGTTCCTGCCGGCCCGGGCCCCGGGCCTCACGGCTGCCATTTAATGTAAACTAGGTCAACGGAGTGTCCTGACACGGTGGCTCTGTTCTCCACTCTCGGCACAGCTGCAGGCCAGAGGCAGAACGCGTCCGCGTCACTGGACGGTCCCCCTGGGTGCAGGTGCCCTGGCAGCACCTGCCTGTCACCCTGGGTTCTGTGATGAGCTGGGGTCACAATGGGGGGGGACACAGGCCGGGGGCTGGGCCTCGTCCTCCCCGCTGGCCCCCATCTGGGGCCCCCAGAAGATGCGGACGTAGAGCTGGGGAAGAAGTCCATCCCCCAAGGGGAGTGACCGAGAAGAGAAAGTGCACTCGTCACCGGCCTGCCCAGTGTCCTGCAGCGCAGGGAGCGGCTGCCACACACACTCACACACACTCACACACACACACACACACACACACACACAGTCTACCCCGGCAGACACACCCCTCTCAGGACCACACTCCCAAGCACACGTGCGTGACCCTGCGGCAAGGACACACCTGCCCCTGCACACAGCCAGCAGCCGTGGCCCGCGCGTCGTCACCCGTGCACACAGGCTCCTTGGCGACCTGGGCACCGCCCCTGCAGTCCAGGCCTCAGCCCCCCAGCCCGCCCCTCACAGCCGCAGCTCTGTGGCCCAGGAGGGCCGGGTCTTCCCCCAGCCCCCYCCAACCCCCCGGAGCCGGGGCCTGGCCCACCTGCCACCTGCTGCAGGTGCTCTCCGCCGTGGTGGACAGTGGCCGCCCTGTCCAGGGCCCCAGGGAAAGCCGCTCGGCATCGGCAGGAAGGCCACAGGGCCGGGTGCCCCCTCTCGTGGGCCTGGCGGGTGCCTGTGCCCAGCGCTGCCTCAGACGCTGCGCACGCTGGAGATGCTGGACAGGGGCTCCCGCATCCTGAAGCTGAGCGACCGGGAGCCCCGGAAGCTGTCCCTGGGTCTCAGTGAGCTGTCCGTGGTGGACGCTCCAGAGTGGGCCTCGGTGGCCCGGGTCAGGCAGTCCCCGGGGCCGCGCAGGCCGAGCCGGAGGCACCCGCAGCAGAGGAAGGCCAGCACGGCCCGGCACACCTCCCGGCTGCGGAAGGAGTAGATCAGGGGGTTGATGGCCGAGTTGAGCACGGCCAGCGCCAGGATCCAGTCCATGCCCCGCAGGTACTCCTGGGCCCAGACGGTGGAGCCGAAGGTGTCGGCCAGCAGCAGGCAGAAGAGCGGGCCCCAGCACACCACGAAGGCCACCAGGATCATGAGGACCGTCTTGAGCAGCCGGCGGGACTTGCGTCGGGCCGGGGCGCGCAGGGCCTTCTGCCCGTTGGCCTGCACCACCCGGAAGATGGCCCCGTAGAGGGCCAGGATGGCGGCCAGGATGCAGGCGAAGACCACCACGCAGAAGAGGACGTAGTCCTTGGCGTAGAGGGGCAGCAGGCTGGAGCAGCGCTCGAAGGCACACACGCAGTTCCAGCCCAGCAGGGGCAGCAGCCCCAGCAGCCCGGCCAGCAGCCAGCAGAGGCCGATGAAGCCGTAGACGCGGCCCGTCTTGGTGGCCCCGCTCTCGGCCACCGGCCGCACCATGGTGGCGAAGCGCTCGCCCGCGGTGAAGAGCAGGCTGAAGGTGGAGGCCGCCAGGGCCGCGAAGAGCAGGCCCTCCCGCAGGAACCAGTGTGCGGGCGCCAGGCGGAAGGTGCGGGCCCCGGACAGCAGCACGTTGGCCAGGTAGGCCAGGCCGGTGAGCAGGTCGCTCAGCGTGATGTTGACCAGGCAGTAGTAGACCCAGCGCCAGGAGCGCATGCGGGTGGTGATGGCCGCCAGCACCAGCAGGTTCTCCAGCACCACCAGGCCCCCGGCCGCCGCCGAGAGCCCGCGCAGGGCCCCCAGGCCGTCCTCCGGCCCCCCGCGCCCCGCCAGCCGGCCAGAGTGGTTGTAATGCAGGACGATGAGCCGGCTGTGCCCACCGGCCGCCAGTTGGTGGCAGGTGTCCAGGGGCAGCGGGCCCCCCGTGGTGTTCATGGCCTCCGGGGCAGACTGAGGCCCGGGCAGGGTGGAGCTGGCTGCCGGCCTCGGTTTCCTGTTGTTTGAAATTTCCTGTTTTGTTCAAGGTACCCCCAGGGTGGGGGCCGGCCAGGGCGGGGAGGGGCATCCCAACGGCTGGCGGGCTCTGCCCGAGACACCCCATGGGCCCCGCCTGCCCCCGCGGGTCCTCGAAAGCAGAAGGGGAGGGGGCCACCTGGCACTCGCCACCCCTCCCTGCCTGTCCCCAGGAGCACCCACCCGCTCCCCAGCTGCCGCAGCCAGGCCTGCACACAGCAGGGGCTTAATAAGCGCTTGTCACCAGCTGCCCACAAAGCCCCTCTCCTCAGGGCCCACCTGGGTCACCTGCTGCGGTCGTTGAGGGGGCTGGGCCAGGCTGGGGCTCCCCAAGGCAGCCTCGCACCCTGGAGCCTGGCTCAGGGGAGGTACCAGGGACAGCTCACCAGGCCCCTCACCAGCCACGGAGGAGGGCCACGGAGGAGGGCCACGGAAGACCCACTGTCCCTCCCACCCTGGGCCCATGTAGTCATCAGCCTTCCTGAGAGGGGCCCTTGGCCCCGGGCAGGGGTGGCCACACCAGCTCTGCCGGCCAGGGGCCCACGAGGGGCCAGGTAGTTCATGAGGAGGCCCTGGTGACCTTGAGGGCCAGGTGCCCACCCAAGAAGCTCAGTGCCCCTGGAAGGCAGAGGGGAGCAGGGAGCTGCCTGGCACCCCAGCCCCCACTTACCGCCAGCGCGGGGCGGGTGGCTGCGGGAAGCCGCGCTGGCCTGGGAGGGGCCAGCTCTTGTCCCTGAGGTGACCAAGCAGAGGTAGCAGGACGGGAGGGGGATAGGTCGGAGGAGACGGCAGAGGCCCGGGCGCCACCTGTGCGCTGGGCGGCCACTCCAGGCCCCCTCAGGACAGTCACCCTGTCCTGTCCTGTCCTGTCCTGGGGCCAGCTCTGACTGCCCCACCCCGCCCTGGACAGAGCCCGTCCCAGGCTGCCCCTCAACCCCAGCTGAGCCCTGACCCCACTCCCCGTCCAGAGCCTGGTCCCGGCTGAGCCCAGGCAGCTGAGTGCAGGCCCGGTTCTGATCCTGGTGCCAGCCGAGCCCCGGCCTTGAGGGGAGTCCACCCCCTCCCCCATCCCCACCCCACCCCTCCCCCCTCCCTGAGCCACCCGCCAGCCCCCTCCCAGCCGGGGTTCCCTGATTCTGTACTGAGCCCCGATCCCAGGGTAGCCAGGCGGGGCCCATGACCTCAAGCGTACCCCAACCCTTCCCCGATCCTGTCGAGGCCTGACCCTGGGCTGACCCCTGACCCCAAGCCAGGCGTGGTCCCCAGGGTGTGGCCGTCCCTAGGCAGGACCTTCAGCTGCAGAGCCCCTGTCCCCAGGGAAAGGGCCTCCCCCGTGCTGGGCCTGTGGGATTGGGGGTGACCCCTCCAGGTGGGCCCCAAGGATGGACGACACCCAGCCCCCTCCAGGGGCCCTCAGACCTCAGGCTGCCCACCGGGTGCAGTGGGTGGCGCGCGCCTGGCTCCCCTCCCCCTCCACCACCCGCGAGAGACCTGAGCTCGGCCGCTGGCCCAGGGGGTCACCAGAAGAAGTGGGAGGGTCTCCAGGCGCAGAGCTGCGTCCCCGGTCACTCCCAGGAGTGGACGCACTGTCGGGAGGACGGAGCCAGCCAGGGCAGGGGCACTGTGCTCGGGGTGGAGGGAGGACCTAGGACACTGACCTCGCCCGGGACCAGCGTCTCCCAAGGGAGAGCAGGGGGACGGGGCACCGGTGGACCAGGAAGGACCTCGAGGCAGGTGACCGATCCTGAGGGCCCATGGGACTCGGGGTCCAGGCTGGGGTGGTAGCTCAGTGGTCAGCACTGGCCCAGCTGGTACTGACCTGGGGTTCCACCCCCAGCACCACAGGAGGCCAACACAGACCCCAGTCCACTCCCTCACTGAGGGCACCCAGAGCCCCGGGCACCAGCTCTGGCTCTAAGTGCCTCCTGTCCTGGCCCTCAGTGGGGCGCAGGGCTCCGGGACCTGCTCATGCAGGAGCCAGATGGCGAGTGGGACCTCTGGGGGCCACAGGGTCGGGAGCCTGGGGACCCTGGGCGGCCAGAAGGGGCGGCAGTGCCCGGCCTGGGACAGTTCAAGTCTCACAGGTGGATGATGGTCCCCTGGCCCCCGCATCTCCACCAGGGACAGCCCCAGAGGATGAGAGCATTCCCTGGCAGAGACACGGGCACCTGTGGGGCTGGCCTGGCAGCAGGCCGCTGGGCTGACCAGTGGGCAGGACCCGTGTCCTGAGGCTGGGGAGGGAGCGGGACAAGAGTGGACACACGGGAGCATCCCCAGCCAGGGAGAGGGGCTCCCAGCACCTGCGACAGGTGGGACCTCAGACAGTGAGAACTGGACACAGAGGACATCCTGGGGGGTCTCCTGGGGGGTCACCTGGGGGGCCCTGGAGGCTCAGAGCTGCAGAGGCAGGAAACAGCACCATGGAGCCAGGGCTGCTGCCCCGGGTCAGTGCCAATGGGCAGAGCTTCAGTTTGGGGAGATGGAAAGTTCTGGAGAGGGAGATGGGGACGGGCTCAGCCCCTGACTGCCCCGGGCCACCGAGCTTCGCCCACTGGGATGTGGGTAAGATGGTAATCCCACGCCGAGCTTCCCCAGGGTAGAAATCAGAGGTGTCTCGGAGTCAGAAGGGCCCGCCGTGGGCGCGGCGGTGCGTGGCTGTGTCCGTGTCACAGGGCATTCCTGGTGACCCGCCAGGCGTGGCGCTGGGTCAGGGACGCYTCTGCTCTCGGGAGACGTGTGGTGTTGGGACAAAAGCCCACGGTGGCCCCACCCACTCGCAACCTATTGTACAAACCTCGGCACAGAGCGCACCTGCTCTGAGCGGGGGAGGGGGAGACGGCCCGCGGTCACCGCGCCCAGGTCAGCGCCTGTGAAGGCCACGGCCGTCCAGCTGGACCATGTCCACCCCCGACTCAGTCTGCTGGTGCAGTGGACACCACAGAGCGTCCTCGGAGGCCCTCAGGGTCCACGGCAGGGATGCTCTCTGGAGCAGCATTTGCCTCCGTGGACTCTGGACGCCCTGGCGACTGGCGGTGCCCGGCTCAGGGCTGGCACGGAGCGTCCGTGTGGGGGACGGTGACTGGGAAAGCCCCTGGCGGGTGCCCACCTCAGCCCTGGCCACGCAGGAGAGGGCGCTGGAGAGGGTCTGGATGGCAGAGGTGCCCACAGCCGGGCTGCCCACTCGGGCCACCAGCTGGGCACATGGCAAAACCATGTGGTTTTTGGAACTTTCTGGAATGTTTTAAAAATCCGTGTTGAGCTGTAGGAGGACCCGATACCTCTACTTTAGTATCATGTGGTGCTGAGACTCGAACCCGGCTCACGGGGGTGCCAGGTGAGTCTCCACCCTGAGCCCCAGACACAGCGCTTTCTGGAATTTTTGCCCCAAAGTTTTCTACCCTCGGTGGTGGCTCCTGGGACCCGGCCGGGGCTGCAGGTAAGGCCCGGTGGAGTCCGGGCAGGCGTGGCCGGGTGCCCAGAGCAGGGCTGGGTTTGGCTCACAGGTGACCCGCGGGCCTGACCTGGGGAGGGGGCCGGGATCCGTGCCGTCGCCTGCCGAGGAGCGGAGGGAACGCACTGTGCAGTCACTCGGCGGCTTGTGCCTCCATGGGATCTTGGTGACCTCTCAGCTCCTCCACCAAGTCCCCGAGCCCCAACTGACCCTGGCACTGACCCAGCCCAGGGCTGCCCACAAAATACCTGGCGGCACCTGAGACTGACCTCCCGTCTGGTGCCTTCTGTGGGGTTCCGAGGACTGACCCGGGGACCACCCCGAGCCCACCCCAGTCCTGCTTATTTTTATATCTTGAGATGGGGCCTGGCCACGTTGCCCAGGCTGGCCTTGAACTTGTGCCCAGCTGAATAGGGTCTTTGCAGATGGAATCAAGCTAAGAGGAGGCCATTTGGGTGGACCCCGAGCCCAGTGAGGAGGGCGTTTAGAAGAGGAAGAGGCCGGGCTGGAGGCTTACAACTCTGATCCCAGCCACGTGGGAGGCTGAGGCAGGAGGATCACAAGCTCCTGACCAGTCTGGGCAACTGAGTGAGGCCCGGCCTCAAAGTCAACATAAGAAGGGCGGGGGAGGGCTCCGTGGGGGGCCCTGGGTCAGTGCTGGGGCAGGGGGCAGTGGTGGCTCAGTGACAGAACCCCGCCTGGAGGTCAAGGCCCTGAGACCAGATGGAGGACCTGGACAGACACCTGCAGGAGAAGCCACAGAGGAGGAGGCGGCCGGGCATGCAGACACGAGCCATGCATCCCAGGGCTGGACGGGCAGGGAGGGCCTCCCTCTGTCTCTGTGGCGCCTTGGTCCCTGAGTCCATGCTCTGGCCTCCAGACCGAGAGCCATGCGTGTTCTGAGCCCCCAGCACCTGCCAGCCCCCCTCAGACCAGTCACCCCCAAATCGAGGGGCCTCTGGCACCAGCCAGAGAAGCCAGAGACCTGAGGCCACGTGGGGTGGACCGGGTCCTGGGTCTGGGACCAGCCGGGGTCCTGAAGGAATCTGGCCTCTGTGGACGCGGAGGCTGGCCCACCAGGGTGGCCAAGCCACCGCCCCAGGTGAGGCCGTCCTGGGGAAGCCGCCTGGGCCTGGGCGCTGTGAGGGCCGTGTCCCCGCGGGCCACATCACAGACGTCTCTGTGAATCCCAACCAAAGTGGTCAAACGTGCGTCCGGTGCCAGGCGGCCAGGGCCTCCGGGTGGGCCGGCTCAGCCACCCTCCAGGGCTCCTGGGGACCGTGCGGGGGCTGGCTGGGTGGCCCGTGGCTGGGACGTGGGTGATGGGCGATGGTGGGGCAGGACTTCACCTCCTGGCCCACGGTGACCAGTGACGGGGCGGGGAGGGGGGCAAGGGACACTTCCCTCCCTGGCCCCTGCCGCCACGGCACCTGGGCGGGTCGCTGAAGGGGGATGGGGAGGGCAGGAGGCCGTGGACACACCCCCAGGAAGCCCCGACCTGG